GACAGGTGGCTCCGGCGGCGGATCGATCTCGGCGAGGACCTGGTGGAGGGCTGCCAAGTGCCTCCGCAAGATCTGTCGACTCACGCCACCGGGTATCCCGGCGCGATAACGCCTGCCGCGCACGAGTCTGCACCGGAGGGACTCGTCCGGCACGCGAATCGTGAAGCTGGTGTAGCTGTCCGATGTGCCCATCACGGAAGAAGGACTATCCACCCCCGATTCACCGCCATCCGCCGCCGCCTCCACACCAACCTGTCAAGCCAATTTGCGCGTGACGAGGGAATACGCGCAAAAGTTAAAACATGTTCTTGGAAGACATGTGGACGGAGAGACACGGAGAGCGATGTGCGTATACAAGGCTATGTATTCAAAACTTGTTCGTACCATGCATGTGCGAACGACGTCTACGATGCAGCTGAAGAATAGGCTGCCCACACCCCATTCACCGCCATCCGCTGTCACCTCCACACGAACCTGTCGAGTCAACGTGCGTGCGACGAGGCACGAACGAGCAATGAGATGAAACATACGCAAGGCAAGGCGATGTGACTGGGAGAGAGAGAGAAAAAATATATATGCGCATGTACTTCGAAGTACAACGTGATACATTCAAGCTTTTCGCACCATGTGAGTCCGAACGATGTCTCCGATGTAGCGGAAGAACACCACGACGACTCGAAGCAACGCCAGGATCACGCATGCGAACAGGAGCGCTGATAGCAAAGAAGAGGCATAGCTGATGGCACCGTCCAGCGGGACGGCAACACCTTCCTCCTCTACGCCAAGCGTGATTGTTCGGGGCTCCCATTCCTCGACGGCGACATCTACGTCATCGGTCATCTGTTGGCAAGTTGTTTAAAAAAACGGAGACAATATGAGGGAAAATGTCCGGGATTGCTATATCTTCACCAAAACAAACAAACTTGTACACGAATTCACAACTCTCTTGATTTCATGTCGATGAGACAGGACTCACCGGAAGCAGTTCCTCGAGTGATGCGAGAGCCTCGAAGTGCGCGTGTCCGTCGAAAAAGATGAGGTGCTTCGCAGCGGCAATCGGGGTCGACGACCCATCCACCGGCTCCAGGAGTCCATCGCTGTCCAACCGAACGATCACAAGACCGTCCAGATCCAGGGCCTCGCCACCGCCCATCATCGCCCTGCCGTCGAAGTAGCCGTGCGGACAGCGCATGAATGCGTCCCACATCGGCTTCGTAAGGATTGGGGCCTCCGCGTTGTGCACCAGGTCGTTGAACGAAAGAATCTCGTCCTTGATGTCGGAGCTGTGCTCATCGAAGACGTCGCGGCCGTGCGAGTTGCTGACGGTGGCGTCGCGAATGCACTGCAGGGCATCCTTGACATCACCCGCGAGCTCGCCATTGGTGGCTTCGATGATGGCAGGAATCGGCACTCCGTCACGGACCATCGATCGTTGGAGCAAGGAGATGGGGCCGCAGCTGTTGCTAGAGCCACTGTTGGACATGGCCACAAACATCTTGCCATCCAGAGTGTAATATACACGTTGCACTCTCTTCGCCGCCGCCGCCGCCGCCGCCGCCGCCGCNCCACTGTCAGATCTAACAATCTCAACCAATGATGGGATACCATCAGCACGCATACTTGCGAGGAAACTCCGGAAAGCACTCACAGCGCCTGATTTACTTTTCAGGAAACACATCCATGTACGTCTTGTGCAATCATCCTTCACTATCATGGGGTAATGTTTATCCCCTACGGACGCAACGTACTTCCGCCCTCCCAGGTCAACAAACACTCTGCCCAACTTTTTGTCCGATCTGCATCTTGTTTCATGAGCAATTCCTTTCTTGAATGCCTTCGACATCGAACACCCCGTACAAGCATGCATTTTACCGGTCAACTCCATACCTAGTCGTTTTGCTGCTGTACGAAGTAATCATTTATGTGAATGAGCATTAATGTTATGAAACTCGTTCACATCCATCTTAGATTCATGCTTGGGGTTTGAAGGAGCGAGGGCAGCTAACACCGAACCAACAGAGTTATTCTCTAGACGATACGCAGTCGAAATGAGCATGCCATCGAAATTCTGAAAAATTGCTGTTCTGTCGAAAGTAGCCATCTTACCATCAAGACCACCGAAGCTATTTCATAACTTGCCATCAAATACTGCGCTGGGAGAAAAGAGGTTGCACAAACCTTCAACCCTACTGAACACTCGCTGTCAGCAATCACAAACACTTCCTCCAGAGTTCCAGACGGTCAACTTCACAAGTAACGCCATCAATCCCTCATGCGTTCTAATAGCAAGCCTTCACATCGTTAACGCTAGAGAGAGTGTCTGTCATGTGGAAAGCAGTAACCGTGTCCGTAACACCATTCTTGACATATTTGTCATCCTCACAAGAATAAAGAGTATTTGCGGACAGCATCATCACTTGACAAGCGCTCCAGCAGGTTAGCAGAACCTCGTTATTTTGTACCAGACACGTCAGATCATGCGAGTTGTTCAAGCTGGTTTGAGAAAATAGCACCATGTCAGACTTCTCACCGTTATCTTTTCTTCCTGGCGCAGCACATCCACACTGAATCCTTGCTGTACCGAGGGGGTCAAGTCGAATTCAAAGTCTGCGGTCGGAATGTCTACATATAGTCTAGCTCAGACACAAAAGCCTCAAACACATTATTGTTGTTGTGGGCAGTCAGTAGAAACAATTGTGACCACGACGGATGTGACACGTCCGTCCCGTCAAAAACAGAAGCTTCGGGAACTTTGAAAGGACTCCTACCCAAGTTTTCTCCTGTGTCAAAAATGCCGGCCCCAGGAATATATGTGTTTCCACTGGCGACACGTCCCCACCACTCACTCGATGGAGTAGATGGGGGTGGAATGGAAGACTGGCTACCTAAAGCCCCACTTACCATTCCCGGAATGGAGGACTGACTACCTCAAGTCCCACCAACCATTCCCGAACCGAAAGACTGGCTACCTAAAGCCCTACTAACAGTTCCAATCGAACCAAAGCTTGCAGCACCAGCAGAGGGACGATTTACAGCAGATGCATGAGGGTTCAAGCCTGAGTCAGAAGACTACTTACTACTCCAATTCTCACGCTGGACATGCCAAGGTCTTGGGCACTGCTGCCCGTACCTCCCGCAGTCCTGCCAGTAGCATCTACAGGATGCTAACCGGTGTCGGTTCCGCCGCTGGCAGTACCACCAGCAGAGGAACGACATACAACAATAGCACGAAGGTTCAAGCCTGAGTCTGCAAGACTACTACTCCCAACCCACATGCTGGACATGCCAAGGACTTGAGCACTGCTGCCCGTACCTCCCGCAGTCCTGCCAGTGACATCCGATTGATGCGCACCAGCGTACTCTGTTCCGCCGCTTCCGGGTGCAGCAGCTACTGGAACAGAGGNACTTCCGGGTGCAGCAGGCTACTGGAACAGAGGACTCCACCTGATCACCTCGTTGCCCAACAAGCGACTTGATTATACTCGGACAACTGTGTCTCAATCGAATTCAATCTCTCACCACCAATAACATCCTGCGAATCACCCGGAGGTGGGTCATCCACATGATCCCCAGCAAGCCCACACATCACGAAGCAAGGTGATCGATCTTCCTCCGTTCAGTCTTGACGTACAGTCCGAGGGGACAAGCAGCAGTCGACTGGTCTCGCTATAGCGTGTTGGTAAACTCGTGGCTTCTGGGGAAAAGATGTTTTATTGTTGAGACCTTGGACCAGGAGAACAGGTCAAACGGTGAAGTGAGCAAGGGTGGGGAGCACCACAGCACCGCAGCACCGCAGCCACCACCCGTGTTGCTCGACCAACGCACAAAAGCAGAACACAATGATATCGGCACACAAAAGACTCAACAGACAGGGGCTAACGCACATCACAACGTACCATGTCCTCTGACTGATGCACTATCCAACAGAAACACACTCGGGATAATGCACCATCCACGAAGAACATTCCCACAGAACGTTCCTTGCTGTTCTGATAATATGTGGCTACTCAACGATCTTCAACGCAGACAGTCCCGCAATGCAAACTGTCCAATCAAGTTGTTCTACGTCACTCTGTCGACACACACAGCAGCAACTATCACGAACACATGACCGTTAACGTACAGGCCCGACTTGCGATCGCGGTACTCGCACCCCAGCTTGTGCAGCCAGGAGCGCGCCGTGCGAACGGTCACCGAGTACGACAACACTATCTCTCCTGATGCCGTTTCAGTCGTCGTCTTGGTGGCAGGAGCGTGCTTGAAGAGGTCGTATTATAGTCGCACGTTTTGGTGTCTGCTACCTGTGGCAAGACGTCCTTGTTGAGGTACTCGCGGAAGCCCTCGGCTATCATGTTGCGCTCCCCATTTTTGATAGAGTTGACGCGGATCGATTGACGTACCATCACGAGAAGACCCTCGTCCAAGCTCAGGATCCACCGCCGTTCGTGTTTCCCCCTCTGGTCCACCTTCAAATACAGCAAGGGTGCACGCGACAAAGAACACCGCAATGTCGAGAAAAAGGAAAGGGTGGCTCAAAAGCATGCACGGGTGCGGGATGGAAAGGGAGCAATAGCGCATGCGTTGCACGGAGGGAGCATGCTCACAGCTACGGCCCGCGAGCTTGTTGACCTACAGCAGTACTATTTTGTGTTCATCGCCACATACAGAGTCTACGGCACGCACATCTTTCATTGCGGTTGAAACGGATGTCTGGTACATATCTCCTCTCACCTGGATATGGCCCTTGGTGCGGTAGGAAAGCTCCCACTCACGGAGGGTGCTGAATGCCACTTCAAAAAACTCCGCCGTTTCCTCGAAAGCTTGCCTCTTGGACACCCCCCTGAGCAACTTGTGGTACAGTCCGTTCAGAGCCAAGGCCTTGAACTGCAGGCTGCCGGCTTGCGTATGCGAGACGAGAACAGACTCCTGCATGTACGAAAGGTAGGAAAGGGGGAAAAATCAATGGTAAGATCATCGGGACAAGCAGCGGGGGTGAAAGAAAGGGTGGGAGCGGAGTGGTTCTTGCGGCCCAACAGTCGCGCGCAACTTCACCCAGACATGTACATGGGCGGCATCACATCAAATACATACGGCAGCAGCAGGAGCAGCATCGCGACAACCGTACAGTATTACAACCAACAGCAGTGCTTGCAGCACGAAAACCGCGATCAACGCATGCATACAATTACACTGCATCGCGTAGCCCAACATCTCTTACATTGAGTCCAGCAGATGTGACTGCTACAGCGGATTGGCATTCCTTGATGACGACGCGGAAATAATCCTGCCCCCGCTCCCAGCCCGATCTACATGCAGCAGATGCTGCGGCCGCCTTTTCCAGCTACGATCGATGCTTCGCCAGCTTGCGAAGAGCCTCCTTCCTGCCCACACCCCTGTTGCTCTGGCGCTTGAGGAACGCTGGTCGACAGGCCTCCTCTTGCTGGTGCGCCTCCTTCACTGCATCCGACATCGCTCCAGGAAGATCGCGCGAGACCATCTGCGCACACTGGAGCTTCCCTCGCTCGAGATCATCATTTAGCTGTTGCGCAGCTTGGCGAAGCCTCTTCCTGCCGTAGCTTCCCTTTGGTCTGCCTGCTCCAGGGCGTGCTCCGCCGCGCTTTCCAGGCGGTGCATCTCCGGTGGATTCCGCAGCATGTTGACAGTCCGGCTGCCACTTTTCTCGGGGAGGCGCAGCTTCGGCTTCGCGTGCACGTACATCGTTGTGGGGCACGTTGCCGCTACAGAAGAATGGCCGCCAGGTAGCAGCCCACCGGTCCTCGGCCGCCCAGTCGCGACCCGTGGTTCTGCCTTTCGGAAACTTGTTGTATGGGCTGCACCAGCGCTGTCTGGACCCATGCACTTGGGCCGTCAGTTGCACACGATACTTCTTCGGAGCCTTGTGCTGATGTACACTCGCCAGCTTACCACCACGATGAGCCAAGGTTGCCAGTATGGTCGCCAGGGACNTTGTATGGGCTGCACCAGCGCTGTCTGGACCCATGCACTTGGGCCGTCAGTTGCACACGATACTTCTTCGGAGCCTTGTGCTGATGTACACTCGCCAGCTTACCACCACGATGAGCCAAGGTTGCCAGTATGGTCGCCAGGGACTTGTCGCGCAGCTTAAGAGCCATGGGCGTGGACCGCGACCTCTTTATGTGTGGTAGCCGTTGGGGCTGATGTGGGCGAAAAAAATTGAAACGTTGTTCTGATTTTTTTTTTATACGTTCGTCATCAACGAGCTCGGGGATTATTCCGCCGCAGTAGAATACCACCATACTCGTTCTGACGAATGCCGGCACTGCTGTATGTGTACAGACCAAGCAGCAGGCTCCCCACACTTACTCTTGGCACCGGGCAACCCGTGATTTACTTTGTTGACTTGGTCCCAAGTCTTTGGGAAACCGGAACCGAGGACGGACGCGGAGTGCTCCATGGAATTATTTCTTTGTCTGAAGTTATCACCCTTCATACATTCCTTCAAGTCATTCGTCGTCCACCGGAAAAGAGACGATGAATGGTACCGAACAAGGAGCGACCCCCCTCCCTTTCTACCACGACAATGCCTCTGCCAGCTGTAACTGAATTTGGGGCTGAACTTAAAATCAAAATAAGAGCTCAGCAGCATTCTTCCCGTAGATGTGTAGTAAAGGGGAATTCCCTCCCCACCGCCACACGCCAACGATGCGTTAATTCATTCCTTCCGACGACAGTATCAGCTCTGTCTCGTGTGCCAACAGCCAGCAAATACATACGTAAATACATCCGCATGCAAATACTATACGAAAAACAATGGGTGGCCATGCCTACAGTATAGACTATATATTGTACCGGCGTCCAACTTAGCCTCTGGAGCCTATGTAAAATGTTGGCAAACAGACCAGAGGCGCCGGGCCACAAAAACAACCACACTATAACACTACTATTGAACGTTCGAGATGGACCAACTACACTGCCCAAGGAACCGAACAAAAAAAAGCAGGTCCCTTCTCAATTCATTGTAAAGATTTCATTAACACATCACATCCATTCTACTGGGGAACCATCTCAAACGGGTAGATAAGATAGTCTTTTCAGGTTATTGCATTCAAAACCAATAACGGAGCAAAATGAATTGATTTCAACACGCACGACCAGTAAACACGCTTCGCTTATGTACCACGATCGTCTCCGCTCCGCGTGGAGAAACGAATATCAACTGCCTGCTCATTGACAAAAAAATACTGAGAGTCGAACAAAAAAAAATACTGAGAGTCGAACGAGAGTGTACATAAAATACTGCCTTCCATGCCCAGCATTTGATGACCAAGGCCAGCAATGCACGACTTGGCCCCCTTTCCTCCCTCCGCGTAAGTTTCCATGGCTACAACCCTCCCCCCCCCACCCCCTGACCACCGTAAGCGCTCTGTTCACTCTCCGCAGTCGTAGAGTAGCAGGTACCCGGTGTTGGTGGCGGCTGAGGCTGGGCGTGCCAGTCCGAAGCACTGCTTGAGCACCTGGGGCACAGCAGCCGTGAGACACGTCGGGCGCCAACAAGCAGGACCACACCGCGGGGAGTTGGAATGGGGAGCTTCTCAAAAACGACATAACGAGCTTTTTCCTCCACACGTTTCTAGAAAAAAAGTAGCGTTGTATGTATCTCTCAGGTAGGCGCGTTGAGTTTGGGTGGATAATTCCTTCGTGTAGACAAAACACTAATACTCTTCCGCGCAAAAACACGGGCCACGTCATGGACGCCTTAACAACCAAACATCGAATTTTTTGTCAGTGCTCTGCAAGAATATCGCACGCGCCATCATTCAACCCAGCGCCGGCTGCTATGACAGCGCCAGCGGGGGCAAAGATACGAGCGAGAGACCGACGGCGGTGCCGACAACAAGAAACCACAAGGCGGGGGAAGCCACGAATGACAATCATTCCTTCTCAAGGCACCCCCCCAAGAAACTAACGACAGACGGTATGCTTCGTTCAAAGCGGAACCGAGTCGCATAATTTGCCGGTCGTTTGGAAGTCGTCGCTTCCCTCGAGCACCGATTGTGCGGTCACCGTACGCGCCACATCAGCTGGATTGGTTGTCAAACCCGATGAGTGCGATATAAATTCAGCGCGGCCTAGGTTAACGATTTCATTTCGGCTTCTCTAGATCGGTCGCACGACCACTATGCAGGGCGCAGACGATAGCGCAGCGCGGGAGTCGACCACAGGCATGAACCGCCAACAGTCCTCGGTCAGCTGGACAGACATTGCGGTCTATGCTTGCAATGCCAATATTCACACGTCACTATCGCAGCCTCCGCTATTGACTAGAAAGTGTCACCCGACACCGTTTCATATTCCGACTTTACCGGTGCATCTTTGCTGGCCCACCGCATAGCGCGCTCGATGCCAACCCTGTAAGAAACACACAAAGCGCATCTGGGCAATCGATCGATGCTAGCTAGATCAACCAATGCACGCACGCGCATGCAACATACATTACACACACACACACACACACCTGTTCGTTGACGAGCTCGACAATCTCGTCGTCGAAGAGCAGCCAGCGACCTCCTGACTTCACCACCGCCACATAGTGTCCGTGGTTGGGGCCGCGGCCAATGTGTACTACGACAGCGAATAGCCTGGGTCGTGAGCCGTTTCGGAGACAGGATAGGTTGCGTTGTGAAGACGGACACAAGGGGCGGAGGGCAAAAGCCATTGGGTTCGCAATACTTCAGAGACCGACCTGCCCAAGTGTGGACAAAGGGCTAACAGCAGTAGCGTACTGCTGTAGGGAAAGGTTGGACATGTTGTTTGCCCGGGCGGGGGGTATTTCATTCCGGCGGCCCCAAAAAAAACGCACTCAAGCCCGGGCACCTTCTACGTAAGGGGGTAACGGATCATATTGTACTATATAACAAGGCAGTGCGGACGTGGCAGAAACGGCTGCAGCAGGCCACGAACCGTGCTCCTCCATGTCAACCCGAGATACGTGGTCAGAGCTCTCGAGACATCGGCACGCAGCAAGCGAGCATGTCCCCCGCCTCCCCACTAGCTCCGTCTCCTAAGGAAATGATGCATGAACGCGCGTGTCCAAGCCTCCCAACCAGACAAAGGTTAGACGACAACCACGCCCGCCCCTGTCTACGGTGCCGCTCCCGACGACCACGACCCCTACCGAGCGCATGAAAAAACAAAAGAAATACAGGACCTTGCTTGCCTGTAAAGCCGACCGTCCGCGTCCGCCTCGCCGGCGGCGTCCGTCATGTTGGGTGTCCGCAGCTCGAGGGGAAACACGACCCGGTGCGACAGCTTGGAGAAGTTCTCCAGCGACTCCACGTACTTGAAGCGCTTGAGGTGCAGCGTCAGGATTCGCGGCAGTCGCTTCAGCCGAATCTTTTTCTCGGCCTCCTGTTGATTTTTGTTGGGTTCCCAGGCCGGTCGCATGGTGTTCTTGTTATTCTACTGCAGTTTTATTCGTGCGCGATTTTCTGTTTGTGGGTTCTTGGATGCATGCATGTACATGTGTGGATTCGGATTGTTTTGGCCCACCGCCTTTCGTTGCTCGTGGTCACCGCTGGGGGTGCGTTCGCACAACCACTGCTGTAGTCTGTTTTAAAAGTTTGCTTGGGTTGGGTTGTTTGCATTATATTTTGAAGTTTCAAAAGGTCAAGGGTAGGGTTGGGAGAAGCCTAACGGCGTGTGCAAATTATGTGATCGTGGTGCTTGTGGGACGTTCTGTTGACCATGCTTGGCCGGCAGGACTGTCTTCACGAAAGGCCCTCATGACACAGCGACAACAGCGCATTAGCAACGTCACCAACACAACCAAACGGAAAACGAGAAAAGCCAACGCGAGACGCATAGCGTGAAACAACGGGCTGCACGAGTGCCCAAGCTCACCAGAGACATGGAAGCGAACACGTATCACACATGAACAGCAGCACGCGTGGACAACGGGTATTTTCTCATTTGCGTATTTACGAGTACACGTGCACATTCGCCGATATAGCAGCTGCATGACCCACCTGCAGAGCGTAGCAGGTCTCGCAGAAAAACTTGTTCTTCTTGGTGAGAGTCTCCGTGCTGCTGAAGTTTCTCAGGCACGCCGACACCGACGAGTTCTGCTCCACGTCCAGGGACAGGTCCATGAAAGGCTCGTCTCGATTGCTCACCTGTGACCGACCGAGCAGGGTGGGTGGGTGAACTTTCGCCGTAAATTTGAGATTGCAAGGGTCAGCCGGTCGCCCCGGTGGTCTAGATGACATCCTCGAAACCCTCCTAGAGGTCAGGTCAGGGGTTCGAATCCCGGCGTAAGCGAGCTTTTCTTGCAAAGTGAGCTTCTCTCGCCTCCGCTACTGGCCTAGTGGATAGCGCTATTTCGTGTGTACACAGAGGGAAGAGAGTGCTGAACTCTCCTCGCATTAACAATCGAAGGCAACGTACCGCAGGAGGGGAGGTTAGAGAGGGGCCCTTTCGTGTGACCACGGGTAGGAGAAAACGGCACTAGTGCTGTGAGCGCTGATTTGAAGTGAAGACAAAAAAAAAAAAGGTCAGCGGTAGTTACACGCTAGGCGCGTTGTGCGTGGCCGTCACTAGTAGGACAACAAAAAGATGACTGGAATAGCCACACAGAGCAGTTGAGTTCATCATTTGTGGCAAAAAGCCCAAGCAGTTGCACCTTCCGGTATGGCGATCAAAACTATTCCCCATCGGTAAGGCCATCAAACTCCCAGGAGGAAGCAAGTCGAAACCTCCGACTTCCTTGTCCAGAGGGAAACGTGAACCCAGTTTCGCTTCGTTGACACTGGGCTAGAGTTCGGGACGTGTTATCTCACCGCACCAAAAACATACGCCGTCGTAGCGAAGGGAAGTGACAAAAACACAAAGAGTCTCCAGACAAACAAACGCACCGTCTCGCAACAGAGGCACTTGGTCTGGTTCGTGAGAACCCCCTGAAATATTCGATGCACCCACGTCTCCCCGCCAGATTCGTTAGCCCCATCGCTTGTTCTCCGGTTGCCACGCGCGTTGCCGTCACCACCATCAACCCCCGCCGCCGACTCCCCCCCCCTGGGGTCGCTGCCCGACATCCCGCCCGCGTGCCCCCCAACCGCGGTCGATGGAGTCGTGCAATCTGCTGCCGGTGCTACCGATGGTGTCGCCGCTGCGGCGGCCGCTCCCTCCGCAGGAGCCGGCTGCGAGGCGTTCTTCAGCCCGTTCCCGAAGCTGCCTTTGAAGGAGGACATCTTGGACCAGGTGGAAGACCGTCGCGGATCCTGCTGCTGCTGCTGCTGCTGCTGCTGGGAAGCACTCGTCTGGGTGTTGCTGTTGCTACCGTGTGCCTGGCGGTGGTGATGGCTCCCGTTTTGTTTGAAGCGCTGCTTGTGCTCCTGAACGGTGACCGCCTCGTCCCGCAGCTTCCTTCTAGCCACCACACAATCCGCCATCTCGTTCAGCACGAAGTTGAAGAACTCGTGCGCATCCTAGAAAGCAAGCAAGGAAGGAAATGCATCTCAACTTTTTCGTCAAGTCAAGGCGGGGATGCTGGGAACAGCTGCATGGAACGTGACCACAACCGCCCTCGCTTCAGCGAACCGCATGATCTGCCTGATGCAACGACCACGTGCACATATGTAGTCGAGACTTGGGCATACGACCCGCTGCTGGTGTGGCTCATCGAAAAAAAACTCGAAAGCTCTGATTGGCGCTGCGTCGAGAAAACCGCCGCATCCTACGCATACAGGAGCTGTTCGATAACAAGATCAGCACCTACGGATGAGAGGATGGCGGGATCTGTCTCGACCGGCGGTCAACCCTCCCCCCCCCCTCGCCCATCCCCCTCGGTGGTGTTTGCCATCGGGGTTGGGTTTTCGTCGCTTGGCAACGACGTTGTACAACAAGCCGCCCCCACACAGTGCTTACAACTGTCTGGAAGTGGAAGCACCAGAAAATAAATTAATTCATACGCAGCTGTCATCCGTANATCAGCTGGATCATCCCCTTCCCCCCAAACTTCATGAACTCGTTGACTATCTCATCCGCCCCTGCTGCTTTGTGGCACTGCAGCTTGCTCACATGCGCCTCAACCTCGTCCTCAGTGAACTCCTTTTCTAGTTCTACGTTCCCAACGTCTGCTATCTTCTTCTTTCTGGGCCAATGCGCCCACCTCCTTCTTAAACACTTCGTCAAAGCTTCATTCTCCGAGGGCACTCCAAGTCTCTTGTAGTGTCCTGCTAGAACTTCCCTATTCCCTTCTCACTGCTGACCCCCCCCCCTGGTGTTTGCCATCGTGGTTAGGTTTTCGTCGCTTGGCAACGACGTTGTAAAACAAGCCTCCCCCCTCGGTGTTTGCCGTCGGGATTGGGTTTCGTCGCTTGGCAAAGACGCTGTAAAACAAGCCAATTCACTTCGTGAACTCGGCAACCAGGT